ATGTTATGTAAAAAAAAATCATCCAGTAAAATAGTTGAACTCGCCTTGATTATTTTTGAAAATTAGATTATTCAGTGGACGACATATATAACGCCATTCGTGAGGAGTAGTAATGATCCAAAAGCATCCAGAATAAAACATACAGTATGGCAATCACTTCCAGGGTGCTTGATGCTGTTGAGGTCTTTGGGACTCGCTCTGATCAGAACAACTGAATGAATCCAGATAATTGTGTGTGCCATCTAAAATGAACTTATGATTGCAGAAAACTTATAGGTGGAACTCACCGTATGTTTTTGGAGTAGTCATCCTCGTTGCTTGGCAATGGAACTCGAGAATATGAAATTAGGCAGGCAGTGGTCAGAAGAAAAGATATTACAGGATAGTGCATCGTTTAAAACAGGATGTGTTAAGTGAAGGAACACTGAGAATTAGATCCAGATAACTATTTACTCCTTGATCGCATTGTTAGTCAATGTATATTTACAGGTCATATTTGCTAGAGCTTGATGTTTAAACAAGACTATGTCGCTGAAGCATGTAAATGCTATTACAGCTTGTTAACAAATCATCAAAGCTAATTAGTTAATATAGACGACCAGTTTTTATTATCGATTGAGCTAGTTTGTCATGAGGACTAATCAATATAACATTACGATAATGCATGTGAGCATTAATCAGAGGACTATTAGAATACAGTGTTAACATAAATATAAAATCGATCGAGAAAGTTGAAGTGGAAATAAGGATTAATAATATTAGGTTGCGTTTCTTTAGTTGGGCTCACCAATGTTGAATTATGGTCTACTATGATATTAGTACTGCTCTAATAATAGACCTAATCCTAAATTTGTAGACTCGTCATGATATAACTGCCTAATCTATAAGATCTTACGTGGAAGTCACACCATCGACTACGCCAACTCTCTGTATCGTATCAATTACCAATACATGATGAAGAACCAGCTTAGTTTAGAGAAGGAACAATATATTTAATATGAATAGAGACCACGCCTGCATGGCCGAGCCATGCCACTCGATCAACTCCAGACCATTCAATTCATTCTTCGCGCCTTCTCCATTCTTAGGTATTTCCCCGAGTTAAATATTGAATATCTATTTCCTGAGTAGTCTCGTGTTCACAGCTTTGTGGATTGTGTGGCTATTGTCCAATGCCACTACAGATCCAGCTCCCGTGGTCATTTGGAGTCAAACTGAACATTCAGGGGCCATAACACAGGAACTGGGAGACTGAAAGACAGATGGTGGGCGGAGCATATATTGGCACTAGATAGTGGGATTCGCGATTTGATGAATGACAAAAAGTTTTAGTCAAAAGACTTGTCGTATTAAAATCGCCATACATATGATGAAACTCAATTTCCGTTTTTTCCGGAATCTAAGATAATACTAACCTAAGTGCTCAGTCTTTTGACTTGTCCGCTACTATGCAAAGTATTGGTTTATTTCTTTTGTTGCAAGTGTTACAGCTTCCTGTTCAAGCTGTCCAGTTATTCTGTGGTGGCAGTTGTTTCTAACCACACGGTCTTCGGAACTGAATATAAAATAACTGAGACTCACTAAATGTTGAACACTTGGAGGCCACAAGAGGTGAAACAGGAATGCATAATATAAACGGCATGAGTTATTTATGCTGGTGAGCACACTATGAACCTCCATAGACTTTATGTTAAATGTATTGTTAAACCATCAGCCTGAAACCACATCAATACAGTCTGTTCAAAAAACATTCATGAGGAGAGGGAGTGAAGTCGTGGGGAATCCAGTCCTTGGCCCTCAAAGATTACAGCAGTTCTGGGTTACTATGGATCCAAAAGTTGACAAACAATCACTGGAATTTGATTTATAAGGAGGCAATTAAGACGTGTAGATACGTATTTTTGCAAGTAATCGAAGGTAATTGAAACAGATTGAAGGCGAGATAAGAAAAATGAACTCAGGAATCTGGAATAAACCAATCACTGACGGTCATTCTGAATCAATTAATTTGTACACAAAAGGGAATTAAAATTTATTATGGTGAGGGGAACTGTAGAACACAAGTCTAGGCCGTTTACACTGTGCTATCTCTTGATTTGCGCTTTCATTAATTCATATGAAGTTTCTGAGAATTGTCCCTCACGTTCGTGTGATATCTTATAATAATTCTCATCATGACCCTGCTCATGTTTTACATATATTGCATTTATCACCAGCGTTGTCTCGAAAAGGTTTGCGTATTCACACTAAAAGTTTGTCAGACATTATTACCTACATCTCGTGTGAACTTCATTCCCATTCATCTACATATCAAGGATGTTTTCGTAGGTACATAGTTTTTGGTCGGTTAGATGAACTAATTGCCAATAGTTTCGAATAAATTGAGCATTTTTATTCTCTGAAGAAGTGACTTACACTAAGCCACGAAACGTCAGAAAATCCAATTTTCTATTCATTGGGATATTACAAATATATTATTTTTATTTATAATTGCCAATAGGCTTATGTCGCCTGATATTAGTTTACATATTTCAATATTAAGGGTTTTTCGGTAAGCCGTTATATTATATTTGCTGCTCAGGATGAAAAATTGTCTTGTGATATAAAGATTGTGAAGCTGTTCTATGAGTTTAACCTTGTCGACGAGTTATTCATCATATGGTCATTCGCATCTTTAGTCATAATTTTCTGGAGACAGACCATCTAGAATATCGGAAATAGATTTAACATTCAACATACAATACGCATCACATGCAATTGCTTATTATTGAATTTGAATGTAAACATTAATTCAATATATAGCTATTATCAAATGAACAAGTTCAGTCACCACCACTGTTGACACTTTCAGAAATGTTTGCATTTCATCGTTTTAAACTATGTAACAGGTGTTTAATCGTCAACTGACTAGATGCAAACCACTGTCAAGCCAAAATACTAACTACTTGAGTTATCTATTATATCAGTCTCATCAGATAATTCGCCAACAAACTATACTAGTTCTAGAGGTAGAATCATACAGCCCCTTAAATGTATTCATACAACAGGTTAAAATCTTCTGCAGGTCTGTGTGGTCTATTTAAATGGTCACAGTCTACTCGTGCTGAACCGGAATAGTGTGACCTCCTACCACACGTCAAAGTTACATCACGCGGCTAATGTCTTACGTGGTCTGTGACCGTGCACGAACTCGCGTACGCTCAGTAGTCCCGCTCGTAAACTTTGGCACGAACTAGGTATTATTTCGATACCGCGAGGTCGCCAACAAATACATTTTACTACAATCTTCGACCGCCTTCTGATGTTTGGTCTTCAGAGGGATCTAACGTTGTAATTGGCACGTTGTCTTTCTCTTGTGGTGGTCAAAGTCAACCGCGACTCCAAGCCACACTACAGAAGTGTATAAACGGAGGTGGTTCAAAAAGAACTATAGGATTATACGTAGTTTTAAAATATAGTACTGAAAACAGTATTCTGATACACGAATGGCTATCTCCCTTTTTTATCGAAGCTATTTCAACTTATTTTTATTGACCTTATAGGATCACGAGTGGGTTTCGTTTTTAGCGAATTGTCTAGTTTTGCTTGTAATAGGATAACTTGGTAGGAAGTGAAACCAATTAAACGTCAGAAACACGATTTAAACACGTATTTTGCATAATAAACTAGCATCAACACCATTGATTCGTGACATTCAACTTGACCATAAGAAGCTGTGATCTAACAATATGTTCTGCCTTACAGAATGGGTAGATCAAGATTATCTCACCACCATCATGTTTGCAGGTCAGTAACGCCATCACACTGCTATGAAGATAATTAGTAGTATAAGTTATAAGACACTGGTCAGATTATATATAGTTTAGAGAAGGTAAGGATAGATAGTGACTCAAGGAATGTGAAAGATTATTAGTTATTAGTCTTTGACTTACAAAACTCGTCTCTCTTGAACTTGATTTTCATATACGGTGGTGATATCACTTATACAGTTTTCCTTCCATCTTTAGGATGAAGTGATCATGAGGTCAACCTATTCAAGTTGATGGCGAAGATGGCCTTTCAACCAGTTGCACCAGCCCGTCCTAACATAAGGAAAGCAGACATGAAGGCGATCAACTATGCAGCATCTTCCCAAAACTAGATAATTGACTCAAAGGCATCAGTAGGAGAGACAAAAACTCACATCATGCAGTTATACAATCAGGTAACTCAACCATATATACCATGAACAGTCACAAAGAAGATGAAGCACGGTCATCGCTGGATAGGTAGGGACATTCAACGTTTGCAAATACAAAAGAAGAAATGTTGGAGCGTTGCCGTTAGCCTTGGTTCAACAAGTCTGATGGAACGTTACTGGTTGGTAAGAAACAAGTGCATTATTACAATTCGGGAAGCTCAGAGATAATATGATGGTATACACAATCCTAGAGAGAACTAACCTTGAGGACTGCGTTCAGGCTGCAAGCTGCTGTTTAAAAGGTAACTCGGATATCCGGGAAAATGTGCAATGAGCAGTCATCCTTGCAACTCCGGAACTTCTGAGTTTACCATGCAAAGAGCGGCTTGAAAAGCTGAACCTTTTTACCCTATCCTACCACAGATTAAGTGGTAATCTGATTTCGATGCTTGAATACTAAAAAGTGATTTTGGACCTGACATATCCTCTTTTTTCTTCCCAGCAAATCGGGACATCTCAGAGAACATAGCAGGCCAGTAGAAAAGGCAAGAACGAACAAAATAACCGTGCCATACAGGTTTTCATAATGAGTCATCTATTATTGAAACCTGTTGTTGGAATCAGTGGTGTCCACACATTCGCTTAACTCATTAAAAAAAGACTAGACACTCACAGAAGCATACTAGAAGGGGAACACCAAGGGCCGTGGGCCGTCTGACCTTACTACATAAATCTAAATCTAATCTAGCTCTGTTTGACTACTCTATACTTCAAGGTCAATTAGTGTTTTCGCGCAAGTAAATGTATATAAGGTGGGATGGTTGGAAATATTTGCATAAACATGCATGTGGTCATACGACATTTAGCCTTAAGGTTTACTAAGTCTGTTCATGTATCTATAATCTCAGGCCGACATTGGTAAGATTTCGCCTGATATTCATGCTTGTGTCCAGCTCTTTCTGGTCACGCATGCATTCATCTAACTACACAAAATTGTTGACTCAAGTAATAGTCTTTTCATATATTTCACTACGACTTTGGCTCACGAACGGTGAAACCACGGGTTAAACTATTTTACTGTCGAGCTAACCAGATTTAAGGTAGCTACTATCAGCTCTCACCAATTTAGTGCAGTTTCACTTTTTCATGAGATATGTAGTTTACTGCTTGAAGTTTACTCGAACTAAAAGTCTTGGTCTCCACATATCCTTAAGACTATTAGTTCTTTGATCGGTATCTTGAAATTTATTCAGGTCAGTAGGTTGATATCTATTAGTTTCATCTAAATATTTACTATCAGCCATAGAAGTCTCCAAAAGAATACGTTCAGACCGTAATTGAACTTCTTCTCTTGATTGAGTTTATGGTTGGCATCTCATGAAGTACGTAATGGTGATTATCAACTAATCCTTATTGATTGACTCACGTATGTGGAGCTGCTGTAGCTAGTAGATTTGGGCAAGTCCATATTGGAGAACAAATTCCTTGGTTATGTTGTTTATGCAATCTTTCATTTGGTTCTCTGGATTGAAACTTATAAGCTATATTTGTTTTGCGATCTGTTCATTTTCGGGAGGTATGACTGGATACCAAAAGCAATAGGCAATTTTTTCGCTTTTTATCTAATGAAAACATTTCATTTATTATATATTTGAACACAAATGTTGGTACAAGGGGGCACGAAATACAAATGCACCACACAATAACAATGAGACCAGTAGCAGTTATTACTGATTTGTGTGAGGGCTGTGATACTGCTTGGGTGCCCAGACCGAAGCAGGTGGTTTTCTTAGGGGGACACACTCGGAGCCCTCGACCTATGAGTCTGATCCACAAGGCAGTAGAGCAACGTCAGGAGATGCAGTCCCATGTTAGCAGTAGCCAAAATTAGGTTCATACCCCATTTGTTTCCTTAGGATCCTGGAGCTCGTGTGCACCATCGGTTTGGAATCAGGGTTTTTCCAACTCCCCTAGATGGATCCTCCATATCCGCCAACCTGGCTAAAGCACCGGGCATTTTCTTTTCATCCTCTCAGTTTCGTAAACAACACCCCTGACGCGAGAAGTCGGTGAGTAGGACCTCCCTGATAGTGGCTGTATGGCCTTGTGAGAGCATTTTGAGGAGCTGACTGTCCCTACCCTCGGTCGTACCACGGTATTCGGGGGCAATGAAAACAATAATATCAGATGATTTATCGGTACAGCCATTCTACATACTTTGAAGTTCCCTCATAAAATGTTCAAGCGTAACGATCACTAGTTCCTGTTAGTCGTTATTCCTTTGAATCCTACATATTCTCAGTCAGTCAGTCAGTAACAACATAGAACTTCGTACGTACGTACATCAGTTCGAGTTGCCACACCACCTTAGCACAGAGATGCAGTTGTCGATTCAAATCCCGTAGTGGATTCTGGACTTGATGGATGGGTTTGGATTTAGTGTATACCTACAAATGACTGCGTTTTAGTAAGTATGGTTTTCTTCGTTCATAGTGTTATGAAATTGAATATTAAGTTAAACTATTTCAGCTACATTTAAATAATTTTCAGTTGAGAATCAATGAAAACTTGATCACGTTTTCTATTTGGCCCTGGAACTCGTGACACTTTGCTGTACATTCCGTATCTCTTGTGACTGCTGAGCTATAAACCATGTACAAGGTCGTAAAACCTTTCCAAGCAGCAGGATTTTACTGTCCAAGTAATTTTATTACACATTCACAGTTCTTTTAGACTTGACAACAAAGTATAGCCAGTCATCCTATTGCCTTCAAGAACTGTTTGCGAATCCTCAAATCCACAACCTTTTACGTCTGATTACTTGCATAGATTCAAACACAGTTCACCAACGACGCTATAGAAGAGCTGGGAAGGAAAGTATTAAACTTCTTAATGATGCCGAACTAAATATAGTAATACGATTCGGATTATTTATCTAACTTTTACACAAGGTCAAAAAATATACTGCCGCTTTTACGGAACAAAAGTTGCAGATGCCACCTGTTTTAAACCCAAGAACCTCTGTAAATAGCCAAATCATTTCTCGAGATAGCGGTCTTCAAGGGATTATTCCGGGAAATATCAAACTAGTTTTTACAGATACCACACTAAAGCGTGACAGAAAGAACCGTCTCATAGTAGTTAGAGAGTCAAATGGTAACTTAAGACACGCAGACCTTTCTGAACGTGATCGTATTAACCAAGTTTACTTTCCTTTGTCTGGTCGGAAGTTGTTTATTCCCATGATGTTTGAAGACGAGCAGTTAGATGTAAGTTATCGTTTATGTTACTTCTTAGCACTTTAAACGTCAATAATCACATAAAGTTTCGCTTCAGAAGTGATAGTGATGTGATAATGGAAAGGACGGTTATTATCATAACAATTTTATGACCAACTACAGGTTACTTTAATCGACTTTGAGGTCCAATTTATTTTGAAACGAGATACTGATAACTAAGGCGGGGTTCAGAATTTTGATATAGCCTATATCGCCTCATAGATTTTGCAAAATTTCATAAAGTATCTTGCTGGTTGTGAATTCCCCATCCTGAAACTCAAAATTTTTGCAAGGCCTTGTTTCTCACTCATCTGGTGTCACTGTTAGTCACTACATGCGATTTTCTTGAAGGAGGATTAGAATAGAATGGAGCTCAGAGTAAACAGACCAGAGTATGGTACTCATCTGTGAATCTACTAACTACTGGTTTATTTATGGGATAGATGGATCAAACTCACCCTTGTTTACTTCATTTTGGGCAGCCAACCAGGTTATTTTACCAATTCTTCACGAAAATGGCTTGGCCTTTGTCGGCCCTTGAAAATCCGAGCGAGGCAGTATAATTTTCGTGGCAGGCCGTACCCATATCCGCAGCAGGTCTCCAAGGTGAACAACCTCTGGCAATTGAACAATGCAGGTAAGGGAAGTCGGCAAATCGGATCCGTAACTTCGGGAGAAGGATTGGCTCTGGGGGCCGAGTCAGACAGGCCAAGATCAGATACGTGTCGTTCCAGTTGGGGGCTGGTTTCTTTGCTGCTTTGTGTGCTTCGGTGTGCGTTGTGGTGAGGTTACTGGACTCTGACCCGGGTCGATCGTGGGCGTTTTCAGCTGTTAGTGTTGTGCAGCTAGCAACGCATGAGGACTTGTTTCACGTTGCGTCAAGCGGCTGTACTTCCATGGTCTGGCGCGCGACGGCAAACTCAGAACTGGCACGGACCAGGGGAATCCGACTGTCTAATTAAAACAAAGCATAGCGATGTCCACTGATTGGTTGTGACGCAATGTGATTTCTGTCCAGTGCTCTGAATGTCAAAGTGAAGAAATTCAACCGAGCGCGGGTAAACGGCGGAAGTAACTATGACTCTCTTAAGGTAGTCTATGTTCGATTACTCCAAGGCTTTTGTTGTATGTAGTAGCCCGACGGATGTTTTTGTCTGAGGTTATATTCTGTCTGCTCTAGGTGTGAGATTCATTTTCGTCCAACCAAACCCATTCCACAATTATTAATAAGTTAAGAAACTAGTGCTAATACAAATTACCATGCGAAGTGGAACAATGCAATTCGGTTACGTCAACTATCATAGCAGTGGAGTTCAAGTCCAAGTCAGTCTATGTGTTTAGATGCAAAAAAGAGGAAAAAAGAACTACAATATGAAGTATTTAGACCACTAAGATCTTTTTTTAAAGATATCCACCAAATCATTCACACTTTCAGGGTTGTACTGATGGAAACAGATGAGATAGTTGTACGCACAAGTTTATTTTGTAAAACTAAACATAACTTTTCTGGTTTTTCTGATTTTATCATTTTATTCTATATTTAATTTCTCCTTATCAGGCACTTTTGGACCAAGGCTCATTTTTGTATATTTTGGACAGAACATGTGTTCAATTCGAACCAGATGACCCACATTTTAGTCGAATATGCCATCGTGTTTATGAACGTGTGAACCATTTAGCCTGGACTCCATTTGAAAAAACCGCTGAATCGATAACCAACGGTCTAACCAACCCATTGCTTCTACTACGACACACACGCTATTACGGTCCCTTAGCTTTATATATGATTGCTCAATTAGGTTCTCCTGGGCCACTTGTTTATGAGACTCTTGCACATCAACATTACAATCGCTTAGGTTGGGTACTTCGTTTAGTTTGTCTTCTTAGACCCTCTAGTCCTTTTGCCGTCCATACAAAGTCAAATGTCGATTTAATACCTCCGCCGATACAGACTGTTTTAGACTACACAAAGGATTTGTCCCAACAAAATATGAGTCCATCCGAGATTAGCAAGTTGCTGGATTATGTTGAAGTAAGTACATTTTTTAAATTTTATTCAGTAATTTTTGAATCATAACTTAACTAACTTATCCGGGTATTAATGGTGGTACGAATCCACAGTATTGTGATCAAACGTTTAAGTTTTCACTGTTCGATCGAAGTTTTTTTATCTCTTACATTGTTTTCTAGTGGGAACTTGTTAGTCTGTAATCGTAATCTTAATCTGTACAATAACATTTTTGTTCCACTTCATAAAAACATGCTATTTTCCTGATACAGTCTATAATTCTGTTGAAATGTACTATAACTTAATTGATTAGCATATAATTAGTGGCTTTAAAAATAAATGGACATATCTGAAGTCATTCTCATATGACATCCTAGAGGACTCACAGCAACTTCACTATTTTCCAGATTGTTTTTTTATGTTCTTTTGCAGTGATTCCCGATAATGTTATTTCAAAAATATTACAGTTGTGGGTTAGAAATAATCCTATGGCTTAAGGTAATGATTAGCCCAATCATTTAAACTTAAGGCTAATTACAATTATTAAGTATACCCCATTTGTTAATTGGGACTTCAAGTGGTTCTGTATTTTGAACCAAGGGAACTTTCTGTTCATATCAAAGATAAATACCTCATCTTATGCAATAGATGTGGAGATAAGAGGTGACCGGTAAAGGTACTAACCTAATGACTACTTCATAGTTTATATCAGAAACTGATATTAGTTAGACAACCACGAAGCACTATACAATTACTTCTTCCAAATATGGGGCTCCTCAGCAGCGAGCATCCGTTTCCCCATCAAGAAACGACACTTGTACCATCGGGTCCGTGACAACGACATTATGTTTTTTATTGCAGGCCTTATTTTAATCTGAATTAACAACTTCAAATTCAATTAACCTGTGTTTGCTAGGCATTATTATTTCATGTTTGTTTTGAAATGTTTTGTCACTTTTCCGTCTTTTCTATAGCTTTTCATCAATCTGGAACCTTTAAGCAAAGACAAACAAGTCATACTCAATGATTATCTTCAACGAGCTCGAGAAGGTATCAAAATGAACATAGAAACAATGGATAGTACTTAGTTATTTTATGTACATATGATGTTAGTTTTGTTGTTAGAGAAAAAGAAATTGTATGAAAATAAATAAACAATCCAACTTAAATATTCGTCATTTTTTACTTAAATGTATATTGAATGCTTGTTTTAAAACTAACCATAAGACTATTCCTTAATAATAATATAAACACAGCAACAGTAGATCCTCTTGTAATCCGGGGGTTATGGATACATACTTAACCTTTATGAATGAATTTTTTAAGTGTTGTCATGTTCCTAATGAGAGCTACTCCTATCTCAGTAAGTAGATGCAATTATTATTAATACACCGAGTACAGAATCTTCCATTCGAACTTAGCTACGTATTTAGTTTGACAGTTGCTTTAAGTGATTTCCAAAATGGCTAAATAACGTATATCTTTTGAATTTAGTCTTTTTAAAAGCTCAGAATTAACTGAAAATCTAAGGTACATATAATTTTCTTTCCTGAATGGTACACTAATTTATGTGGAGATAAGCGAAAATCGTTTTCTTTCTCGGGAATGTCCTTTAACATCAGATGAAATTTAAGGAAAAGTTTGTCCCATATCTTTGCTATTATGGGTAGTCGATAAAAATGCGATGCTATGCAGTTCTAGGTAAAATAAAAGACATTAGAAATTACTTAGTAAATAAGGTTCTAGCTTTCAGTACTTGACTTGGTTATTACAAGTAGATTTATCCAATGGAACTGTGACATCGGTGTTGGTCCGTACTGAAGTCAGGTTTTGATCAAAATGATAAGCAGCATCAGTCTCCTGAATCTTTATTGACAGTGTTTTTTGTTGATATTCTGAACTACAAAATTTTTAAAAAGTGTCAGTGATAATATAAGTGGTGTTTTCTATCATTCTGGAAGCGACCGAGGATAATTTGTTCATTCACTCAATCATACTTTATGTATAATCATTGTATTGCTTGGCGATTTCATTCCAAAGGTCAGGAGTACGGACAACAGAAGTGTTATTTGGTTGAGCCATAGAAATTTATTGGTTACAAGTCGAATAATAGAATAGTCTTTTGAAGCTTATAGCTTATTTTTGTCAACTTCATCTCTCAGTATAGCCGTCAATGTATCACTTGACATGCTCCGACTAGTTTAGATATGGAATAAGATAGATTGCGTTGTAACCAATTAGCGATGATGATTGTGTGTACAGTATTACCACTCGTTTTACGATACCCCATTATCCACCAAACTCATTTTATGCTTTGATGCCTCAAATATTCGTCATTCAAATCGGTTGTACTTAGTACTGAAGTTTTAAGTATTATTCATACCGTAGTTTTCAGTGTCCTCAATAAACGGATACACTTTTCAGAGTAATGAACTCCATCTTGGCTACGTGCCTAATTAGAAGGTATCTGTTGGCGTTGTTGTGCTTAATATTTATTTCTTATCCAGTTGAATACTTATTTTCATTCTTATTTTGCTATGGTCCTACAGCTCATGAATGAAGTTGGGTTTTATGTGAGTACTGCCTATGGGTTGTTTTTAAATTATTGCTGTGGGCGCCCATGGTACTCTCGTGTTTCTCCTTCTTTGATTGTGGGTGCTTTACCACTCAAAAAGTCCTGGGATAAATGGCAGGCAGATGAAAATATCACACATATAGTGAGCATGTTGGAGCCATTCGAAGTAAAATCATTTGTCATAGGAGAAAAGGATGCTGTGAATCAAGGCATCAAATATCTCTCTCTACCAGTTCGTGACTTTGTGGGAGTTCCTACATTTGAGCAGGTAAGTATTTTTTATGCAGAAGTGATTTTCATTCTTCGTGAACTCTTTTATTAACAATATGTCAACCTTAACCCATGCACTTCTGCCACATACATTTTTAGTCAGTTAGTCTCAAATATGGATTATTTATTCATCGTCAAATAAAAGATACAGCTAATTACTATATTTAATTCTGTTGATTGTTTTATTTTTTGTCGATTAAAAGATGGAGTCACATGATACAAAGTAGTTTTTATATAAGATCGTAATATTTTACTATTGAATGAAGAGTTGGTAGTCGACATCACAAAATTGTTTGCTTCTCTTTATTTCATTTCTCTTATCCTTTAAGCCATAATGATGAACTTACTGTACTTGCTAAATTCACCTGTCAAGCGCCTTTAAGGTAGAAAGGTTTGATATGTTTCAGGCTATACTATTCATTTCATTATATTTTTCATAATGATTACCTGTCACTTTGCAGGTGTAAAATGTAGCAATTTAGAATGAGACAAATTTGTACTAGGTTTCACGTTGTTTAGGTCTATCTATCTGCTTCTTTAACTAGATATTATAGCCTTTCTTTTCTACTCATCCGTTTGATTTATTCACCGACTGTATTAGTCTTACAAACTTTTTTATGTAGTTCAAAAAAGTACTGATAATTATGACATATTGTATTATATTTTGTTATTCTTTTGTTTTCTATGAATTTTTGAAAAGATTGATGCTGGAATTACATTTATCAACTCTTGTGTACAATCAAACGGATGCGTGTATATTCATTGTAAAGCCGGTCGTACACGTTCAGCATTCTTATTAACTTGTTATTTCATGTATACAGAATCCTTAAGTGTTGATGAAGCGATTGGTCGTGTCAAATCCTTTAGAAAACATATAGTTTTCAGGTCAATGCATAAAATAGGTTTAGAAAATTACTTCAAATTTTTAAATGATAGTAAAAAAAGTGAAAATGTAACAAGTTGATAATGGCTCGTTATTCAACTGTATTAACTCATCAAACTTTAATACTTTTGGAAATCATTTCCATTGGCCTGGCATGCGTAAGTCTATATTTATTTTGTGTTTACATTGTTGATCTTTAAATTATCAGAATCTCATAGTTTTGGTTACTACTATTAAGATACATGGTATATACTTTTCAGTCGACTGGAATTTTGCATTTGCCTACTAAATCCATGATGTGTTGATCCCTGAGGGGCCAATAAGCATAGCTTTTGGCGATGGATTTCATTCGTTTTATACCAGGATGACCAGTGTGGAACTGCTTTAGCACCCTTGATCTTAGGGACTCTGGCGCCACTACTCTATCTCCAAACATCAAGCACTCATTCACGACGCATAATGGGTCCCGACGGTGGTAAAGCTGCTTCAAGTCACCATCGAGTCCAGTTGACGGCCAGCCCTTAGTGACGTATTTCATCGCTCTCTTAATGATGCAATCGTTCCTGGAGGTAGATTGTATTTCAACTGCTGAGACTGGCAAAGCACGAACAGCAGATGTCAGGTAGCGTTGCGCGTGGTTCTGTCATTAGGAAGGCAATAACTGCATCTTCGTCGGTCGTATGGTGTTCGCTGATAAGTCGTGACAGGGTGTCTGCCTGACCAAATTGTTGGGTGCACCGGTACTGAATGTCAAAATCATAACCCAACAGTACCAAAGCCCATCGCTGAAGACGGTTTGCGAAGTGTCCTGGAACACCAGATTTCGATCCAAAAATTGTGAGAAGAGGCTTGTGATCAGTGATAAGAGTAAATCTTCGACCGTACAAGAATTTGTGGAAACGGCGTACTGCGAACACAAGGGCGAGAGCCTCTTTCTCTATTTGACTGTACTTTCCGCTGGAGTTGATGTGTGAGATAACAGCATCGAGTCCAAAAGCTGAAGCATCTGCAGCCACAATGACTAGCACGGATGGGTCGTAGTGCGTCAATTATAGTTCAGAGCTAATGATGGCTTTGAGCTTTCAAAATGCAGCTTCACACTCTTTTGTCCAGTTCCGAATAGTATTCTTATTCAGAAGATAATTTAGTGGGGCGCGTATGTCATGCATCGACGGAACAAAAGCTGAGTAGTAGCTAATTAGTCCCAAGAATGATCGTAGCTCAGAGATATTAGTGGGAGTCGGCATCAGTTTTATGGCTCGGATGTTTTAAGGATCTGGTCTGCGACCTGCCACATCAAAGATGAATCCCAAGTATTTAACTGACTTCAAGAAAAGCTGGCATTTTTCTGAGCGTAATCGGAATCCGTTATCGCTGACGCGTTGTAGTACAGCTGTCGTGCGTTCTCGAAGCTGATCTAACGATGTGGCAACAACTAAGATGTCATCGAGATAAGTTGTGACCCCCGGGATACTCGATAGAATGGTATTCATTAGTTGCTGAAAAATAGATGGAGCTGTCTTAACACCAAATAGTAGGCGATTGTACTGAAACAAACCACGATGAGTATTGATGGTAAGTAGCTCTGTGGATTCCTCATCCACTTCCACTTGTAAATAGGCATCATCTAGATCCAGCTTTGCAAAGAACTTCCCACCATTTAGCATTGTGAACAAATCTTCAGGGACTGGCAGTGGGTAATGATGCTGTTCGAGAGCTGCGTTAAGACCTGTGGAAAAATGTGCGCATATTCGGGTTGTACCATTAGCCTTCTTAATAACCACAATAGGTGCTGCCCAGGCAGAATAAGAAACAGGTGTAATAACTCCCTGTAGTTGAAGGCGGTTAAGTTCTTCGTCAACTTTCGATAATGCTGCGTACGGCACTGGTCTCTTTGGACGGAAGACAGGTTTCAACCGAAGTGTTGCTTTCATAGCAGTGCACTGACCCAATACAGGCTGGAAAATGGTTGAAAACTCCGTCATTAGTTCTTTCGAACATGCTTCAGGTTCATGAGGTTGTTCCACCATATGGCATACGGTGCTTAACGGAACACCAGCTAAATGTAGCCGGTTAAACCAGGACTTCCCTGGTAGAGGCTGTATACGCGTGGCCGTGTGAGAGCATTTTGAGAGGGAGGGCGGGACCATTCCACTCTCGGCCATACCAGGGCATTTGGGGAATTGATTAATTAAGAAGTCAGCTATCATGAAGTTAGTCTTTTCGATAAGTTAGTAGTATCTATGTTCGCAGTTCTTGAGACAGTTGTTTTCAAGTTCATCGTGTTTGTAAATTAGTTTCTGACTTGACGGAACATCTGATTTAATTGTTTTTCAAAAAAGTTTTTATCCTTATCAGAAGTATTTATACATATTAACCATTTATTCATGTATTTATTTTATCAACTACAGTTTGTTAAAATTACAAATTTTTATTTTATTTCTCCAGAAGTATAAATATGCATCGGACAATCTTTTGAATGTGTCTAATCTTAAACTATTGCCAATTCTAATCAGGGAAAATCCTTTATTATTCGTGCAATGTTTTCAACAAAAAAGTCCGTCTATTTTTACGAATCATTTATTCATCTTTACTTTGTGCGTTTTTATTACTTGTACAAATCTAAATTCAGTATGAAAAGAGACCTATTTTCTTTTATTGAGTTGTTGTGTGAAATAGTTTTTTGTTTAATATACTTTTTTAAAATGAGAAAGTTAACATTAAATTAGATTGAGCAAATGTATTGTTCACTGTTCAGAATAAATTTATTTGGATAAAAATATGTTTTCCTTTCTCATATCACATTGTAATGATTGGTTGGAGCATTTTATGTTCTTGATTTATGCTCTGACGATTACTGTTAAATCTTTAGTTCAAGGATAATCTAGATAGTGAACTATTCTATAGTAGTTGCTTTATTTTTATACCTTTTGATCAAATGTGTTTGGTCTCACATTTTACTTGGAGTAGTTCTATATCTATTACTAGTAAAGTAACAATTAAAAGGGAACCACATACATCAGCCTCACGTCATTGACTTACCCACAACTAAAAGTCTTATAAAATACTTCGGTTATTTGCATTATGCGTTTGTTCAGGCAACTTGTTACAACTTAGGTAATGTGAGCATTGATAAATCAGTTAAGATTCATTGCCAATAAACTCGATGACATATGAGTGAAGCAATTGGGCGCTATTTAATCTAGCTGGGCAACATCACTGGGTGGCATTGGAGGCTTTCAATCACTCATATCACTCAGTAACTTATATGATGAGGTTTTCCTGTCTTCATTATCATCTTAATTCGAATAAAACATTTATTAGGATATCCAGTAAACTCTATCAAGTTTTACAGCTAAAGCAGTTTAGTGTGGATAAATAGCGTCCCCTTTTTTAGGTTTTATGTGAACATCAGGTGTATAAAAAGCATAAGAACTCTTCATTTTTCACCAAGGCAGTTGATTGTGCTACTGTGTTTTTTCTGGAACTAGGACTTGTATTGTTCTGTCTGATTACTACATAGTTTCTCATTGCTGATTGCATGGATTAAGGCAGAGCGAAGCACAAAATGTTTAGTTCGTCGAAGTTAAAAATTATCTCAGGTGTAAAAACAGGTTTGATTGTTCAATTCTTTCAATTGATTTAGTATCCGCATACGATTACAGATTCCTTAGTTTGGAAACTGTAATGAGGATTGAACGTGTTAGTCAAAACCAACCTATTTTGTAATATTGGCTGATTTTAGTTTTTAAAATCAATGCTAGGGCGAGAAAAAGGACTTAGATGGTTTTACTGTCATGCTGAGTTCAACAACACTCTTTCTAAACTAAATAGTTCGTAGATTTTGAAAGCCAAAGCAGATTTATTTTTAGCTGTTTGTTTATGATCTTAAAGCTTTTTCTTGACTCCAGTGTTGCGGTCAGCATCGATAGGATACTTTGATATTAAGTTTCTTGGGATTCCTTCCTAAGAAAATGCTAACTGATACTCTACAAAATTTAATATTCTGCTAATTTTTAGTCCTAAAGTCGGTGTCTCGTTGAGTTGTAAAAACCTCCATTGTGGACTTTATCTATTTTGCTATTATTGTGTAGTCATCATGGTTTTAATCATTCGTATTCATTACTTTTTATTTATATCCTAAGAAAATAGTTTCTCATTCTCAAGTTGAGTTGTATCTTTTCGGATATACGGTTTTACTTTCTTTAAAGTTTTTTTTTTAAAGTTATAGGTACATTTGAATAGGAAGGTTTTGATTTCGAACGATTTCAGCCCACTAATCCAAAATATTCACCTAAGAACTAATCAAGGCCTTTTGAAAGGTTTATTAAATAGTTTTGGTAAATGCATTTATACACCTTATCTTTGATTCTACGGTAACTAGGAGGTTCACTATTACCTTTCTTATTTTGTGTTTTATAGTATGAGTAGGTCTGCCGGAAACGTTCGTGAACCACATGATGATATATTAGTCATCGATAGTGATGCTGACATCAAGGATTATATTCATTCATCTTGTGGTAGTGACGAAGAGGAGGGGTTCGATCCAAATATAACTTCTACTGAATTGAAACAATATAAACCTGACTATCCAGTTGAAACATGTGATGGTTCTCCAGGACGAATTCGTCAGAGGGTGGTGAAGGAAAAGGAAGTGAATGATAGGTTTAGTTTGAACACGTGTCCTGCTGAAATAAAGCAAAGAAAATATAATGATTCTACCAAAGTGTGTAATAATTCTGAGGAACAGTTTTGTCACAGAACAGGGAAAAAGGAAGATACAGGTACTTCCGAACTGGATTCAAATGGAAATCTTCAATTCAAATCTTTAATTCTTGGATATCACACATCATTTACAAACATATATGCAAATTATAATTGTTACCATTTATGTTTAATACTAGCCTTAATTCTAAGACTTTTGCTAGTTATTTTCTCTGTATGGCAGGATACAGTTCGTTGGCCGGATGGCCAACTACGATTCACGGATGTGGATTACGATGTGTTTTCTGATGCTGCTCAAGCTTTTGTCGCTGGGGAAAATATTTATATTGAGCGTCCCACTTATAGATATTCACCACTTATTGCTGTTGTTCTCGCTCCTGGTTACTGGTTATTTTCTGACGGTAAATATTCAGACACTGATAGAAAAGAAGTGAATATTAGTTCAGATTTTGTTGACTTATCAGTAGAACCACAGTTCCGATCGTCAAAACACATAACTCCTCCTTCTCTCGCTCGTCTTTGGGGTAAATTATTATTCATCACGGCTGATTTAATCTGTGGTTGCATACAATATAAAATTATTCAAGATAAACAGTTTGTAAGTTATGCTTTATTTTATTCTGGTATCATATCCGTTTAACATTTATTTTTGGTCCTATGCTGAGTCATATTTATTGGCTGTCCGCAAGAAGCATCTGAAAGTGCATGATTTTCTAAAATAATCGTAACGAGAGAATGCAACCAAACCGAGAAATGGCGTTAGTCCACGAAGTCATTGACTTGCTCTGAGCCATGTCAACAGGTGCAGGCTGTTTGGTTGCAGTCCACGCGATAATCGCGGTCGGTGGTTGGAGACTGAGTGGAATGGCTCAGAAACATTCGTAATTGAGCCGACGCATGCACATTTCGTCTTCTTGTAGATCTTGACTTTCAATATTCTTTCATACATTCCACTCTGGTTTTTTCAAATCATGTTCTTATTATCAGTGCTACATCATTTTGATCTCTTTTGCTGTTCATCTTATTATATTTATTTGATCATACTAATACAATTCATATCTATCCGAGGTTGTATGTTGATATTGTCTATCTCTTTATCAAAAGTGCAACGATATGTCATAAGTTTGTGTTTGTATCACCGCAGAATTAGCTCGACTCAATAATATTAATTGTTATGTAGAAGTTACCTATTGTACTGATGCAAGTTGTGCACTGAGTTTGAAATCGGTGAACAGTTGTTTATAACTAGTGGTGGTTTAATTTATCGTATTACAGAATTTTGTGTTTTAGATTTTTCAGTTGTAGGTTAATGAATACTTAGTGTTACCGATTTCACATTAGTAATTGTCCTTTTGTAATGTTTCTTTTAGAAAGTTAATTTTATGGATTTTAAGTCAGTTATTTGTAATGCGAAGATCGAGCATCTTTCGGTCAAATCGATAACTTAGCAATTTTCAACAAATTAAACATTGCGCGGGTCGTTTATACTGCTAGTACTTTCTTCTTCTTCTTCTTCTTCTTCTTCTTCTTCTTATTATTATTATTATTATTATTATTATTATTATTATTATTTCTGCTAATAATAATAATAATAATAATAATAATAATGGTAGTAATAATAAACATATTTGTTATGTTCCACTTAGTAGAAATTTGAATTTCTGGCGTTTCACGACCTAGTGTAAGCCTCTCCTTCTACCATTTCTTACTTTCTATCTTTTTCAATCCCTGTAGGTATTACCAACATCAACTTTGTGTTTTCCTGACCCCAAAATTGAATTATCTTTCAGTGTAGATGACAAGAAAAAGGGTTGAATATTGATGAAATATAATGATATTGTTTCATTCAATAAACGTTGGTCACTTTATCCCATGACATCTATTTTGGGTTAGCAAGTTTTGCCTAAAGCTATAGCTTTCTATTGATTCGTTCCAGTCAGTAAAATATGGTAAACAATATCATGATTGATAACATATATCAATTACAAGAGGAGTGTTATTAACTTTTCCAGAAACTTTAGTGAATATAACTTATCTATCATTATATGATTAAAGCATTAAACTGTATGATATTTTAATCGAGAGATTGTTTCATAATTCAACTATTGGTTTTTTGTAACATAGACTGCTAAATAAGAAGGTAAAAATTATGGCGTTAAGCGACATAATTCTAACGTGAGTGATTTTGATGTATGTCTGTAAGGTGAAACAAAGATTATAATTTTTTTTTTTGTGTTGTTCACTTTAAGTAAACTAGGATTTGTTCGTTTAGTATAAATGTAATGTTATAAAGCTAAATTGTTGACTGAATATACGTTTTTTGAATCTGTGCATGTAGGACGCGAACCAATAGGCAACTTGATAACATGGTGTTATGCTAACAAGTATCGATTCACTTGCAGTAATATTCTCCTAATGAATTTTTCTGTTCCCCATTTTTTAGCTGAACAGTTTACCAAATCCAAATACTGTCAATCGAAATAAAAAAATTCGACGAAGTTCCATTTCGTTCAATACAGATCAATTAGCATTATATCTTGTTAGTTTCAGTTGGTTATTCAATCCTGTTACATCAGTAGTCTCTGCTCGTGGTAATGCAGATGGATTACAAAGTTGTGTTGTTTTAGCATGCCTATGTTGTATTCTAAACCGTCGGATCATTCCAGCTGGATTTTTATATGGGTTATCTATTCATTTACGTATATTTCCAATCATTTATGCACCATCTATCTATTTATGGCTGATAATGACTGATAATAGTCATAACAAGGATAATCAAAAGAAAAATGAAGCATCGACACAACAATCTCAAAGTGTGTTTTCAATTTTGTTCAAATTACCAAACCGAAATCATTATCTTTTTGGTATCAGCTGTTTACTTAGTTTGACGATATTGACGGGATTATGTTATTTATATTTCGGTGGAATGTTGTTTCTGCAACAAGCCTATTTCTATCACTTTACTCGGTCAGATTTTAAACATAATTTTGCTCCGCACTTTTTAAGTGTTTATTTACTCTCCGGAAAGAAATGGATAGCTGAAAAACAAACATTGCCTATATATGATTTACGTCAGTGGTTGAATAATGCGTGGAATGATTTATCTACTTTAATAGCTTACTGGGGTGATATTAATAGTGGTGGATATTCTTACTCAATATGGAATTTATTGTTAAAAAATCTTAGTACACCTGTGGTTTTGGAGCGTTTATTTAATGTAACTTCAATTATACCGTGTATAATCCTAATTCCATGCTTGTCTTTTAAACTGTATTCCAACATAGGTCTGTGCTGGTTCGCGCTTACCTACATGTTTGTCACATTTAATAGGGTGAGTTAAATATTGTGAATTTCGATGACGAACTATTCTCTCGGTTTTTTCTTGTGTCCATATTGAATGTTTGTGTTGTATCCGGCTAGGGCATGTCAAATGAAACGAAACGTGGGTTCGGGATCTCCCTAGCCACTACTTATGCTGTATTTTCTAGACCTTCCATATGACAAATGAGTTTTTGTAGATGACATTCACCACAAACTAATTTCCTCCATCCGGGACTCTCCTTTCTGTCATTATTTCAAAATATATTAAGTTTAAAACAAAAATTAGCATGTTAAATTACCAGTCTATACTGCTGCATCCAGGAAACGAATTACTCAAACATGTAAAGCCTTTTGGAATTTAAAGGGGTAATATACTTATTTTGGAGTTAGGAGGTAGTAATACTACTCGATCTTAGAAACAGTCGTGAATCGGACCTATAATGTAACGGTTGAAAGTCGAATAACTTAACCACCACGCCAAAGTTTCGTTAGTAAGAAATTTCAGACTGTTCCGAATATATTGTAACTTGAGTATAAATTTTAAAAATATCGTACGAAAACTTATTAATAAAGCTGTTGCAACGATTTTCCAGCTGTTACTTGAGGCTTTTTCTTGTTTCATGCAGATCAGATCATCAGTTTTTAGTTCCAGTGTGGTTAATTTGTTTCATTTCGATCAGTTTGAGCTATCTTATCCCACTCATCATCAATGTCGGTGGTTCTCTCGAGTGTAAGAAATGTGTTTCAGACACTGTATGAAGCAAATTTTACCATATCATAATCGAAAAATAACCACAAATTATAAAGTCACATTTAGCTGAGCTTGTTTGAATCTATTTTACTAATAGTGTGTACATATATATTTATCTTCTATTTAGGTATGCACGGCTCAGTATTTTCTATGGAGCATATGCCTTCTTCCAGTTGCTTTGGCTGATATACGTCTACCTTCAAGTATTACACCATATCGTGCTATAGTACAAAATTTAATGTTATGGTTTGGATCTCAAGGTATATGGCTTGCTTCTGCTTATGCACTAGAAATGTGTACATTACAAAAACCATTTCTAAATCATATCATTTGGATAATTGTTTGGATAGCATCTTTAAAATTTTTTGCCTGTAATATTTTCATTTTGTCTCGTTTAATCAGTTGGCGTAATAGATCTTTATCAAACAATCATCAAGAAATTTCATCATCAGAAGTTATTAATTATAAAACTACCGTTTCTCCTATTATTGATTCTACTATTACTGTAACAACCAATACTACTACTACAACTTATCAGACATATCGCATATCTAACAAAAAAATTTTATGATAAAATGATTGGATTGTTTGTTTATTTGTTTTTCTTTATTTCAACATGAACAATCCATTTAACTTTGTTTATTGTTGATCATATTGATAATTGATTCAAAGAATTTATTTTTGTTTATTTATTTGTTTATTTACATTCTTCATTGAAAGAGCATCGGTGAAATAACTAAAATCTATTTTATTATTTAATAAATAATTGAATTTTTCTTTTCCTCTACTAAATTTCGTTTTTTTTTTGTATAAACATTAATTTTCTTTTGATTTCATTTTATATCTTTATGTGTTGTTGATAAATTGAACATAAAGAGAAAATTCTCTTTGCGTATGTTGTACATGTAATTGAACTGTTCAATATCATTTTTAATGTATCTAATTTTTCTTCTTTTTATTGTTAGTAGTTGATTTTCTAATATTTAATGGGATTAGTACCCCCTAAAATGTTCTGGTATGGCCGAGAGTGGGGTGGGCCCACCCTCCCTCTCAAATGCCACGCGTATACAGCCTCTGTCAGGGAAGTCCTACTCAATGCCTTTTCGTGGCGGGGGTGTCGTTTACGAAAATGAGAGGACGAAAAGAGAATGTCCGGCGCTTTAACCGGATTCCAAACCAATGGTGCACATGGGCTCCGGTATCCTAAGGGAACAAATGGCGTATGAACCAATCGCTGGTCACCGGCTACCATTGGACTGCATGTCCTCACGATACTCCACCGCCTTGTGGGTCAGACCTTTAGGTCAAAGGTTCAGGGTGTGGGCTCCTAAGAAAACCACCTGCTTCGGTCTGTGCACCCGGGCAGTATCCCAGCCCTCACACAGATCGAATGATTTATGTTGCTCATATCTATTTGGTACCTCCTTGTACCAATGTTTATGTGTTTAAATAATAAATAAATAGATGGGATTAGTAAGGGTGGTGTCTTCATTCCTATATGGATCCTGATCAAATAATCGATTGTTTTTTTCTTTTTTTTTCTCAATTTGATTTAATTCAGTATATGCGTGCGATTTCATGCACTCTATGTTGACACATAATTTCGTTGTATGTATACATACGAGTTTGTGCTAAGTCTAGTGATACATGGAAGGAGTTTCGAATCTGTTGTCTATTGATTAGAAAACTAATCTACCCAATAAGGCGCTACTTCGATTGTTTTAATTTAATTAATTATATTTTCTATCGTTTATGATGGGTATTGTTTATAGTGTAAATGCAGCCTCATTAATGTGTCGTTTTAATGTCCACTAAACTGTGGACGTTTTCATGTCCAGCAATTATTTTTTTTCAACATACTGATAAATATCTCGAATGTTTCTACAATTTCGCCTCTATCTTGTTGGTATTATGCTATTCTTCATGATATCTTTACCACACTCGGTAAGCCAATGTAAATAATCTTGGTAAAAGTAGTCTCAATTCAGTAATCGTACACATGTATGCATATTTTTACAATGTTTTTCTCGTCATGTGAGTTTCCGAAATTTTAGTTAACTTTCAAATATGTGAAATGCCAGTTAGTAAATCAAAAAAGTCACCATTAAATTTCATATTCAGTTACTTTATTGGCCAATATATACTAGGGGGATAAGTCATTGGTTTTCGATCTATGCTTGATCATTAAAATTGTTTGTTAGAATCTTAATGTTAGGCACTGAAATGTCGGAAAAGCTCTCGCAACTTACTCTATATTGACTTATTATTGTGATACTTTTCATGTCTTGTCACCGCATGCGAAAGCTAGATTATAACACATCGTTTATGACTTACCTATAATTGCTGCATAAATAAAATGGAAGTTTTAAAGTACAAGTCTACTTGCATTCATTATTTACAATTTATTTAAGCACCAAACAATAGGATACATCACACAAAATATAGATACATTTTGAGGATACGGTAATAAACTTGAAGAAATGAAAGCGAAAAATTAATAACTAAGTAAAATAATTAATAAGAGCAGTATATAATGGGAGAGACAGTTCAGTTAAAAATACATATGGATACAACAATATTAATACTAGATGCATATGTGATTTTGAAACGATTTTCTGTCAAAACGACCTACACTTTTATCGATGTTTTCATATATATCATAGACATATAATCGAGACAAAAGTTACTGAAGAGTAATGGGATCAGACACAGTTTGACGTGCCTATTGGTATGAGGGATTGAAAACTGTTGTTGTCGTGTGCAGGTATTTCAAAGTGTTGACGACCTTTCCATGAACACCTGGGAGAGACAATTCCGAGATAGTTGTGTTAGTAATCAAAGTTAATTTTAATATCCAGAAATACAATATTATCAATACTCAATGCGTATAGAAACGTTTGAGAGTCAAGTACCGTGTAAAGAAGTGATGAATGTCAACATTAACTGTACTAAGTAGGTGTTGCGAATTGCCGGTTAATTTTTATGGGATCTACAACCTGTATAAAATACCGAATTACTGTTTTAGGCTGAGTATAAGATTTTCGTTTTAGCGATTTTTTCATGATTTATGTAAAGACGTAATAACGGACACTATGTGTTCAATTGACCCTTAGTAATTAGAAACGAGTGAAAAAGGGTTTTTGATTTGTATAAGGAAATTGGTAATGTCAATGTTGTAATCTACTAACGCGTACTTATTTAAAAGATGAAGTAGTATATTGCACTCGTCCAAACACATGTTGTTACAAGCAAATATAAAATAACTTGCTTTTATTTTGAAATATCTGATTTAATACTAGTAATTGATAGTGTTTTGGTAGCAAGTCTGTTAATCCTGATGTAAAGTGTTTGTCATCGTAAAACTCCATTATATTTTCTAGAGCCATTTCATTTTTCAGGGTTGAATTAGTATTTGAAATTTATATAAACTTGAACCAGTGTATTTTGTAACTGTACTTCTTTTACTAGTGAATGGGAATAACTAGGTTTATTCCATTTTGTTCGTTAACCTTACAGTATCTATACACATAGTTAATTGGAAAACAGTCCCTGGACATGATTATATCTAAATTATACTTTCTACTTTAAGTTCTTTCATCCCTAGATCACTGAAGATAAATCCATGATTGATATCAATTGTTTCATTCACGAAAACAAATTATCAGTTAGTAAACTTATGAAAATCTGGAAGGATTATGAAATTGTTTCATTCTAGTCTAAAACTTCTCAGCAGTAGCAATCTACGAATTTAGAATGTGGCTGAATTTAGGATCGACATATCTTACAACTTTCTAGTGCTTTTCGGTTTTCGATTTCATTCCACATGAAGTCGTATCATAATGGACCTCTTTAATTTGTTCAGAACTTTTACAGAGGTTAATGATTAGTTATTACATTGTTTTTCTTCATAACTTGAATTAGAAGGAAACATTCATCAGTTAAGATGTTAATCACGAAGAGAGATTTCAAAATAAACAGGTTATCTCAAATAATTTAATAGTTGAATTCATAAGTTAATTGAAGCTAGACCTTCATGAAAAACCTAGAAGCACTATGAATTTCATTTAAATTTTATGATCATGATATTATTTACTGTGAGTTTAACCAAATTCACTTGATCATACATTATTTTGTCATCCATTTAAAAAGTGTTAACTGTTTTTACCTGGGAAAGAAAACTATTACACGAAAAATAAATGTCTAACGTTATTTGACCTTATAGAGGCTGCTATATCTTTTCGTGTACTTGAATACTTAAAGCAACTAATTGATATCATTGTCAGTACATGTATTTAAACAAAAATTTGTTTTTTTTTATATCTGTTTTCTTCTTTATATCAAGTTTCAAAGGGATAGAATAGAATCAATGTTTATTTAGATGTAAATGTCAATGTATATTAGATGTGCCGTTTGAATAAATAACTCTAACTTGCTTGTATGTTTGTAGTACAGATTTAAGGATAAATCAAAAATATGACAGATTTTATTGGATGTTTAGGTAAAATTATATTGGATCTTCTTTATATTCATTGTGATTAGCCTAAGTGTATTGGTATCTTAGCATAATATTAGGTGGCTAATGAAATCAATGCTTAAGTTCTCTTTTTTACAGGGAAATTTTTCCAAGTAACCAGTCATTAGTAATAATGGCAATTATTAAGGAAGAAAAAAAAGACAGTTTTGTGAAGATGTTGTCATGTCATTAAAAGTGAACGCAATATTTGTCCAGTGCTGTCTGTTATTCACTGGTTATCTAAATGATATTGATCGGTTAAAAATTAGAATTGACTTTAACCGTTATTAGACATTAAACCAAAATATATATCAAATGTAGTTCAGAGTTATCATAGTCATTTAAGGTTGAATAGAAGATCACCCTCTGTATTCCATAGAATTACAATGACGTGTTCAAAACTCCGTGAAAATGTTCATTGGTTCTAAAACACCATGGTGTATACAATAAAGATGAATTTCATTTAAAGATGATATTCAATATTATTAAGGGATTAGTATGTACTAAGCATTGCTTCCGCAAGAGTTTATTTTCTATGAACTAATTTCGAATAAAAAATCATGTTCAAAGTGTTACCTAGTTAAAAATAATTCTTATCATTATACTGTAAACGGTATAGATCGATAAACACTAACGGAATCTACAATATAGTGTTATGTGTAATGTAAGTCTAAAACAATTCACTATTGTGTTCTAAACATCAAAACATTGTTGTTTACGTGACCTAATTTACAAGAAGTTACAATTCCCAGAAAATTTAAATTTCTGATTGTAATTTGCTAAAAGTAATAGCATTAAAATGTTAATTTATGATACATACTTGCTTTAACACTTTTGCAATTTGAAATGATAAAGAACAACCAATATTTATTTGAACAGGATTTGTCATGTTGAGTTCTTTGAATACTGTCTATAAAATGGATGATGGCCAGCAGTGGAATTTAGGACGCGTGTTCCGTCCTATTTAGGACTCGTTAGCTAGATGTACCTGCATCCCAGATTTGATGTCCACTCCGGGACAAGCTAGTGGCTATCTGGTCTCAGTAGCTAAGTGGAAAAAGCAATGGCGTTTGAAACGTAAGATACTAAGTTCGAGTCCCTGGGTGAAAACCAACCCTGAGATGCAGGTACATCCGGCTGATGAGTCCCAAATAGAACGAAATACACGTCCTGGATTTCACTGCTAGCCATCATCCATCTATGCTTATAATGATTGTGGCTTAAGGCGATATCGAGGCGATCCGCAGAGGATGCATACATACTAATATGAGACTAACCAATTACGGTCCTGGGAAGATTCAAACAACCAATACAAAAATGAATGTCTTTAAAATGTTTTTCAAAATTTCACCAATCCATATTTCATTCGTTTTAAGTTTAAATAATTGGGATGGTGGATGGTTATACCATAGGTTGTTTATATTAAACTTTCTTT